CCATTTCTTTCTGACTATAGTTGCACGATCCTAATTATGATGCTGACAATTTCACCTCGTCTGTCTCTTCTTATGTATCAAATATAAAGACAATGATTTGAAATTAAATTTGCAAATTATTTCTGGAACCAGGATAGATTTCCTCCTTGCTACTAATACCTCCACTCCTCAGAAAGCTTAGTCACTTAACAATTGGCATTTTAGCAAAAATAGTTCCATTCAACCTCTCCAATTTAACTGAGTTTGCTGTATGAATCTTTTAGGCAGAATAATCTTTTGGAAAATATCCTGAGGTTTATTTTTCAAAGAGAAATAATAATGATGTGCTTGATGTGGTATCTAGTTAATCAACATCATGAAGACACCGAACACCTTACATTCAGTGCAAAATTATATTAGTTGTATTCAACTATTCCTAAATTATTAGCAGCAGAAATAAATGCAGTAGATATGGTGCTCTGGCTCTGACCCTAAATCTATGACAGTTGACAAGTCAGTCAACCATTCTAGTTTCTATTTATATATGGTAAAAAGAATTCTGAATGATAAAAAGCATGAGGAAAACTGGAAACTGACATTTAATGAAGCAGGAACTATTGGCTGAATATTTCCTTTTCATATATCTTATCAAAGTATGATTGAGGAAATTAAGACAGCTAAAAACCATGTTCATTGCCACAATACTGTAAATAACTGAGCCATACTGAATCCTGCATCTACCTAAATCTGGAGCCCAATTATTTTTCTAAACACAGTGCTTCAATTCGTAAATTACATCTTTGTGGCCAAAATTAAAAGTAGATTCTCTAAAATCTCTCATCTGACAGACTAGCAGTCATCCCTGGACTATTCATTTAATTCCTCATGTTGATGTTTTAATTTGCTTTTACAGTCTCATTGCAAATTCACTGGGGCAGGAGGCCTTCAGGATTGTCTTCATTATTTTCAAATACGATGCAGTTGACCAGGAAGACTTTAAATTTTAATTTAAAAATATTATTCCATGCATGTTGCCTGTTGTGCATAAAATTATTAATCATGACACAGAGCTGTAAATCCTATTAACCTATTGTAGTCTTTCATACTCAGGCTGTTTCCTTAACAATAAATAGGAACAAAATCATAGAAATACATAGTGGTGTATTTATGTGAAAGTAAGCTATAAAGTGTATTGAGAGATGGTCCTCATGGCCTGGGATGGGTTGGTTTGGAAGTATTTTCTAAGGCAAAGGTAAGTGCCAAAATGGGACCAGGAAAAATAGGTGCTCCATACATGCTAGTTGTTGGGGATTCACTGGCTCATTCATTGATTTTGTTCATTCATCCAACAAATATTTATTTATCCTCTATAGAATGCTGTACACAATTCTACATTCTATAAAGAAAGGAGTGGACGGCAACACAAAAATTTTAAAACCTATCCTTAGAATGATTACCTTTATGCAAAGAAGGTGATAATTATTATTTATCAAAGGAAACTAAAATGAATAAAGCTTCAGTATTATCTACCTAGGGACCACGTGCTTCCTATGGAAGTATGCCTCTGTTGTGAGCCACCAAGGATGGCAGGGTAGATTTTATTGCACTTCATCTTTCACTTAAAATTTTTATTTCATTTTTGGTTAATCATTCCATTTCACTGAATCCAAGACACTGATGATTTTAAGGTGAAGCATTACTTGATGTGATATAAGAAAAATATAAATCTGAAAAATTTTGCTATGATGTTTTAAATACTTAGAATTTTTATTTTGTGCTTGTTGAATGAGCTCTTTTGGTTTATTTAGTGGTGCATTTTTATTATAGTATATCCTTTGCCTATATATAAAGGAAACTATAGATTGAGTATCCCTTATCTAAAATGCTTGAGACCAGTGCTTCAAACTTAAGGTTTTTTATTTTGAATTATTTGCAGGTACATAATGAAATGTCTTGAAAATGAGGCCTGAATCTAAACACTAAATCAATTTGTTTCACATACCTTCTACAATAGGCTGAATGTAATTTTATACAATAGCTCATCACATTTCTGTTTTGACTCATTCTATAATGTAAATAATTTGGTAAATTCCAAAAACTCCTTTACATTCTGAGCCAGATCTTTTTGGATTACTTTTTTAGTCAAAGTTTGTTTTTACAAATTCTTTCCCTTGATCCTAAAGAACAGGTAAGATATGAGACACATGGCAAGGAACAGGCATCCTTATCCACAAGCAGAGTCTGGAACAGAGAAATACAAGCAATATCCAGGGAAGAGTGGGCAGTCTGGCTTTAGTAGCAGAAGCACACAGGATGTAAACAAACGGAAAGTGATTTCCAGATTCAAGATGTGTTTTGGAGGAAAAATTGATAATATTGGCTGATGGATTAATGTGAAAGACAAAGGAGAAAAACATACAAAATACAATTCGCTGGTTTCCAGCTCGCCTGTGATGATTCAGAGGTTTCTGGCTCAAACTACAGGATGGCTGGTGTGAAAGGAAGCACAGAAAGAACAGGTTGTTTTATTTTAAGAGTTATATTTGATATGCATGTAATATAACATTAAAATATTAATGTTTCAGAAAAGAATATATACATTTAGAACTCAAAGGAGTTGTCAATCACTGGAGATGGGAATAGAAGAATCCTTATCAACGTAGTTATCATTGTAAACAAGGAAACTGGTTGATTCAGCTGAAAGAGCAGAAGCACAAAAACAGAAAAGAACATGGTACTGGCCTAAGCTCTGGACCAGGGATAGCTTTTTAGGATAAAACTGGTGCACTTGCACTATGACCTAGGCTCAGAAGTGAAGTCCACATTTGAAGCTTAATCTGTGACTGGAATCCTGAAATTCTTAATAATTTCATCCTTGAGTTTGTGTTTTAAATGAAATCAAAGGGACAAGGAGCCACCATGATCTGGGATGTCAGCCACCTGTAATTCTACTCTGTATCTTCTCAATCTTCTTGTCACAGCTTCTTTGCCTTCTTAGAATGAGCCTTGGCCACTACTGCATCCCCTGGAAACAACCCCAGCTGGACTCCCCATCCCCAACATCTGCTTAGGGCCATGGGTGGGTAGAGAAAGGGTCCTATTCCACTGTCACTCTCCTTTCCTGGCAAGCTCTTGTGCAATCAAAAGGAGGGCTGGGGTTGGGTGTGAGGCCCATAGTGTGTTGGTACAGGGTAAATTGGAGATTTATCCTGCCCACAGTGGCAGTATCATAGTGTGTCATACAGGCAATTTTGTTAACAAAGGGGCCTCCCACTCAGTGCTATCCACCAGATTGTGTACCCTTCCTATTCTCATGTTAACTCCCTAGCCCCCATGTACTTGTATTATGAGATAAGGCTTTAGTGGGAACAATTTGTCAAATGTAGGAAAGACTTGACATGATTTTAGGACTTTGACTGTAATTCTGGTTGGAATTTATTATTTTAATTCATGCCCAGAAAGCACCTAATTTTACTTTTAGTTGTCACAGTCATAATTCAAAGATTAGACCAACATTTTCATGTTAGAACCTCAGGAATTATTGTCAATGTGGAGTCTGCTTCCCATGGGTACTCTTGTCATTATTTGGTTTAGTTTTCCTTTCTGATTTTCTTTCTTTTCTCCCAACAAATGTGAAAGTTAATCTTGCAAAACGCTTCCTATAATCAATTCCACAAATTTCATTTTATACTTTTAAACCTTGACTACTAAGTTCACATGCAGATTTCTGGGACCCATCTGTTCCAAATTCTTGCACTCTTTACCATGTAGTGTCTAAGACACAGACAAAATCATATGTGACCAACATGGCTTTCTTCATACAGTCATATTTATGTACATTAGGTTAGAAAATCCATCCATACAAAGGAAGGACCCAATTCATATAGAAAGCAGACAACCCTGTTCTGCCACAAATTAAAATCATTCATTCCAGGGTTTTCTATTTAATACGTGCTGATTTAATATCAGTTACTATTATTTTGAACAAATACTTCCTACACAAGAACAGCTGCAGAATATGGTTTATATTTGAAAAGGCAATGTATAAAACTAATTCTCCCTTCCTTTGCTAGTTTGACCAGAGTATAAAATATTTGTGTTACATAATAGGTATCTCAAATCTTAGTCAACCACAAACTAGGTAGAAGAGGAAAAGTACACTAAAGATGGAGTTGAAAAACTTGGGTTACAGTGGTAATTCTGCCATTTAACTTAGAAAATGTCACTTAGCTGACCCTCAGATTCCTTATTTGTTATGGTGAAAAGTATTTCCATGTGATTTAAATAAAATAATTCTTGTTCTGTAGTTTCTTTACATTTTTCATATAAAATGTGAAGAATTATCAATTTTAAGATGATAATTTTCCAAAAAATGTTACATTAGTTCTGGCTAAATTAAAGAATCAGGGAAATTGCTATACACAAAAAAGCTACCCAAAATTGTTATTCTGTACATCAAAAACTAGACATTAACAATTCAAAAAATTATGACAAAAAAGCATAAAGTAGAATTATGCCCAGTCCTTGACATTCTGAATGTAATATACATTGATACTAACAAAGCACTTTTTAGTTGTTTACTGGTGTCCATACCATGCACTGTGGCCTTCTAGACAGAAAGGTAACTGCCTTTATTGTTATCAGCCCATCTCAGGACCTCGTACACTGCTTAGCTCATGATAAATATTTAACAAATATTCATTGAATTAGCTTTCTTTTCAAATACTTATATGATGTGGTTATTTCACCAAAATTTTATAGATGAACCCTAGTAAATGTAAAATATTAAATTTGAGATATTTTTACAGTGGTAGATGCAAGACTAGAGACCTACTCTGGATTTTAAAGTCCATGGTCCTTTCTGAAAACTTCAGTAAACTGCTTCCTTTAACAACTTATTTTAAAATATTGATCTGATGGTTAGAAATCCGAAAATGGTAATCAGGATTTTGAAGCTTCTTCCCTTTTCCCCTTGACTCAGAGTTGATGGTAATTCCTTCAATATAAAATGTTTTGTACAGATTATCTGTAGCCGCCTAGAGGAGTACAACAGCCAACAGACTTTATGCAATGGAACCCCTGAGGGACCTTTACTTCGTAATCCTGGCAACCATGACAAAACCAGGACCCCGAGGCTCCCCTCCTCAGATGATGTGGAATTTTGCCTGAGACTGACCCAGTATGAATCTGACTCCATGGATAAAGCTGCTAATTTCAGCTTTAGAAATACACTGGAAGGTAAGAACTTTATTTTCTCTAACTTTTATCGTTTTTCCTCACTCTTATCCAAAACCCTGCACTCAGAGGTGCTTGAGAATTCCGAATTTTCCACACCTGTATTGACAATGAAGCTAGCAGACTCTGGGCAGCTCACCATAATCCAGCACACTAATGATGCCTCAGCAAAGTGTATGAATATACATATCCTGGGAATAGACAGATACAATAGGCAGCCTAATGGTGAAGAAAATCAGGGTACTTCAACAACAGTACTGGTGCAAAACAAAATAGTTCCACTTTAGAACTTTTTATATTATAGAAATACAGATATAAGAATGTCGATATATTTTCTTAAGTTTTAATGCTTTCTTCCTCTGGTTTGAAATATTCTAGACAATGGGTTATTTGAGGTAAGTTCATTCTCATAACTATAATAAAGACATGATCTTTATTTCATGGAAATCCCAAATCCACTGTCCCGTAAACTTTCTGTGCCTCCTCAGAGATTCCTTCTTATTGCATTTTAAAATTCCTACTTACTTCTGCATATTTCTCAAAGTTGATTACACCTTCCCTCCAATATCAGTTTATTCTTTTATAAGCAGAGGCTGGATCAGTCACAAACCTGACCCATTCACCTCAATTTGCATTAGGGAAATGAACCCAACAACTATAAGAACAAACAAACAACAAAACACTCCAGTTATGGATTTAAAAGAAGGAAACATATGGGGCTAACATGGCAGAGCACACAAGTCAAAATTTGACATTAGAGGGGCTGGGGATGTGGCTCAAGCGGTAGCGCACTCGCCTGGCATGCGTGCGGCCCGGGTTCGATCCTCAGCACCACATACCAACAAAGATGTTGTGTCCGCCGAGAACTAAAAAAATAAATATTAAAAATTCTCTCTCTCTCTCTCTCTCTCTCTCTTCTCTCTCACTCTCTCTTTAAAAAAAAAAATTGACATTAGAGGCTACCTCTTAAAAGTTCTTTGTCATCTTCCCTGGTAGACAAACCTTTACCTTTCTTTCTTACATGTTTCTTTTTTATTTTGTTGTTATCATTCCATGCCTTAGCCTCTGTTAGGCAAGTTCTGCAGAGTAGTTACTATCTCCTTCTTTTTCCTGTTTCTGAAATAATTCAAACAAGGAGACCCCCCATTCTAAAGAGAAATTCTGGTTCTGGCAGTTAAAAGGTACTCCTACAGTACTTTAAGTGATTGCTATGTGCAAGGAACTGTGCCACACACTTTGTATAACATTTTCTCACCTAATTCTTAACAATTTTCCTCCAACAAAGATCACTATTATTTTTATTCTCAGTTGATAGAGCAAACAGGATCAGAGATATTAACTCGTTTAGCTAACACTGGTCACTGATTGAATAGCAGATTTAAATATTAAACTAAATTGGTCAAATGCCAAAATTCAAGTTCTTTCGATTGCATTCTGATGACCCAGACTAAATTGAAAGAGCAATTTTTTTCAGTATAGCTTAAGAAGACACTTCTTAGTGCCAGGGAATCTCAGAATCTATAAGCTGAGACAAAGGAACACAATTTGACAGTCACTATCTGGTAGGATTGCCTGTCCCATTGTACTTTGCAGAGATCAACGGTAGTTCTCCAAATGCTACCATTAATGTTTTTACAAAACAAAAATCTACCTTTAAGAAAGTTGAAGTAACTTTGTTAAGTTTTTCACACAGATTTTCCAATCATAAGTGACAAAGCCTGCACTTTATTATTAAGGAACATGGATTCATCACAGAATAAGGCAGAGAATCTCACTTCTTGAAGACCCTAAGTCAAAAATAGTTTATGGTGTACCAGCTCAGCCAGTGTTTTCCAAATGAGATTCTAACATATTCTGGTGAGCAGGGAACAAAGATTTATAGCAAATAATTTAAAATTATTAATAAAGTATTTTGTAAATTATTTTTAATTTTTTCCAATAGTTTATTCTTGTTCACATACACTCTATAGTGCTTACTTGAAAAGTAGAGAAAAGGCACACAACACATCATCTGCACATAGCAGATATTCAATAAATATATGATGACTGAATACATAAATTGCAAAAATAATAGCTAGAGTCCTTCAAATCACATCTATCCAACCATCTATCTTATTGATAACTGTTGTATGAAGTGTACGTAATGGTGGGAAAACATTGAAAACCATTGATCTGAGCTATGCACCAGCACTTTTCCAGGCCAGGAACTAATATTTTTTCTTTAAAAATGCATTCACAAATACCATTAAGCTTACAGAAAATTTGCAAATATAAAAGAGGTGCAAAAAAATGCACATACACCCTTTACCCAGATTTATTTACTGTTTACATTTGATCCTATTTGCTACTCTCTTTCTCCCAGTCTGAACTATTTGAGGATACAACTATAGATCATATATTTTCAACTGATAAAAATTTCAGCTTGTTTTTCCTGAAAATAAAAATATTCTATTATACACCACAAGACAATTTTCATCTTCTGTACATTTTACATTGATTTAACATTTTAATTTAGTCTACTTTTTATATTCAAGTTTTTAATACACCTAGTAATACCCTCTATAGCATTTTTTCCTTTATATAATTGGGCTCAGTGTTGTGTCAGGTAGTATTTAGGTAGTCTTCTTTAATCTGAAATAATTATATAGGCTTTGTGGTGTGCATCTTTATGAAATTCATATTTTTCATTTTAGTATTTCTGGTAGTTTCTAATGACTCGATTCAGGGAATGCATTATTAGCCAGAATTCTATATGGGCAATTTTCTGTCTTACTCAGAGGGCATCACATCTGGAAGCAAAAGGTAGCCATCTTTATCACATTAGTGATACTAATTTTGATCACCTGTCCTGGTTTGTGACATGGTCCAATTTTCCCATTATGTAATTGCTTTTTCTTTCAAACTAATCAACTATCCAATGGATAAAATTTTTAAGACTTTGTAAATATCCTACCTCTCATCACACTTTTCTCTTACAGCTGGTATTTATCAATGATTTAAATTCATAACTTTCCAACTTCAGCACTCCTTTGACAGTTATTAACCAAAATTCAAGATTCTGCTGTTATTAAGAGGTATTCATTCATTCATTCACTCATTCATTTACTGTGTTATGGAGTGAAAGCTTTTGTTTAACAAAGAGTTGAGGGTTTTTCTGAAGCACCAGCCGTTGGTTTCTGATCATTAGTCCTCGTTTTGTTCTTTTAAGTTATATGCCACTCAAAATTGAATTTATCTTCATATAACACCCCCTATAATAAACTGCCATTTTGATTGTCCAGGAGTCTCCTTCCAGCTGTCCTTCATGCTTTCCATGTCAGTGTGGCTGCTAAACACTTCACTGAGAAGTACTTTACCAACTCATGCACTGAGATTTCCCAAAAGGCAATCTCAAGAGTAATATGGAAGTTTTGATATTTTGAATAAATTTTAAGATGAACAGGATGTATATTTTCCAAGAAAGTCCAGCTGGATAGTCACAAAGAAATCTCAAAAAACGGCATAATTTTCAGTCTCCCTGCCTGAGAAATTAAGTTTTTTAATTGATACAAAAATGGTCACACAGATTTAAAAATAAGTTCATTTGAAACTAACTATGCCAAGGAAGCTGTTTAAGTGGAGTAACACATTTTAGTAACTGGAAGGCTCCCTTCTTCTTCACTAATCCTGAGGGAATCAGAAAGCTGAGTATTTGGAGGCAGACTGGCACTGAAGAGAAGCAGGCGGTTTTGAGAAGGATTTCATCCACACCAGGAAAATCTTTTTGAGCACTATTACCTTGGCAGGTGAATCAGTATTCTGATTAGGCAATAATCCTGATCATAACAATAACAATAACAATGTTCCAGTACTTTCTCAATTCTCACTATTATCTTATTTAATCCTTAATGGTTAATTAATTCTATGATATTTTAGTGTTAAGTGATTAAGTAAAGAACCACTCTCGGGAAAGTGATTATTCCAGTGAGCTTAGGAGACAGTCTGTGTCCTTCCTTTAAGAGCTGACTCTATTTACTTTACTTGAAAGGTAACTTTTCCTTCTTTCTCAAGTTCTCAGAGTAAATAGGATCCTTCCTATCACATATAGAGAATTCAAACAAGAATCAAGTGTATCACTTAACAACTATGTTTTCTTTGAATGTAGTTCTTTCTTCAAAAGGGAACATTAGCTTTTTAAAAATCCTGAAACAAAACATATCTGCTATAGTATGTATAAAGATTGGATAATTATGTGTATTTTAAGCTATCCGGGGCAAAAACTGCTCTTGGGGAAGACTTAATATTTATGTAAGAGGATCACCTGAACCAAAAGGTAGTAATGATCTGCTAGAAATGGATGGTTTTAATAGTAGGGAAATCTTCTAATTTTTGCAGACAAATTTCTGTAGAAGCAGTGACATTGTTGAGACATTTGAGTCATGGAAACTCAGTGGTGTATTTCCTTCAAAAAGAACTTGAAGTACTTTGTTATGGTTTAAATGTGGTGTCCCTCAAAAGAACATATGCATGATAATGCAAAAAGATTCAGAGGAGAAATGATTGGATTGTGAGAATCTTAACCCAATCATTGAAATAATCCCCTGATATGGATTAACTGAGTGGTAACTGAAGTGGTAGGGTGTGGCTTGGGGGTGTATATTTGTATCTGGCCAGTGGAGTCTCTTTCTGGGCTGTCCGATTGTGATGTGAGCTGCTTCCCTCTATCACACTCTCCTGCCATGATGTCCTGACTCACCTGGAGCCCCCAAGGAATAGAGACAGCCTTTTTTTGGACTAAGACCTTGGAAACCAACTGTGAGCCCTCAAATAAACTTTTCCTCCTTTAAAATTGTTCTGGTCAGATCCTTTAGTCACAGGAGCAAAAACACTTACTAAAACATAGTTTGTGAATATTACTGTTTGACACTCAGCTCCTGCCTGCTAGGGATGTGGGAATAGGGTTCCCCTGGGTAGAGTGGGGTGGCTGAGAAATAAAAGCTAAGAAAAATAGAATGGTGAAAAAA